GTGAGACCTGGTGGTATGAAATCGATAAGATTGTGCAGTTGGGCACTTCTCATCCATAACTGATCATTGTATTCATATGTTCTCATGCTGCTATGAAGAAATACCCAAGTCTGGTAATTTAAAAAGAAAAGAGGTTAATTGACTCACAGTTCTGCCTGGGTGAGGAAGCCTCAGGAAACTTACAATCATGATAGAAGGCACCTCTTCACAGGGCAGCAGGAGAGAGAAAGAGTGCCAGCAGGGGAAATGCCAGATGCTTATAAAACCATCAGATCTCATGAGAACTCTCAGTCACTACCACGAGAACAGCATAGGGGAACCACCTGCCCCCCATGATTCAATTACCTCCCACCAGGTCTCTCCTACGACTTGTGGGGATCATGGGGATTACAATTCAAGATGAGATTTGGGTGTGGACACAACCAAACCATATCAGTCACTGTTGGTGATGCTTGGTTCTCTCCGGTGTCTCTGAGAATTATGACGAGCAATGGACAAGTGAACCAGGAGCAAGCACAAGGTACATGTTCTTCAGAGCTTCACTGTCTACCTAGGACGTCGTAGACTGGACTTCTAGAATGAAATGGAAAGGCTGTGCTGGTATTGCAGAAGGATTACAGATGAGGACCCCAAAAGCTCATCATAAAGTAAAATACCAAGAAGTCTTGTGTTTTATATTCAAATTTTGTGCAACTTAGGCATAGTCCTATAAGTCATCCATACTTTAATATTAAAAACATTGGACTTGCTCTTAAAGTGAAAGAACATTTCTTTTTTTTTTTGAGATGGAGTCTCACTCTGTCCCCCTGGCTGGAGTGCAATGGCGCGATCTCCGATCACTGCAAGCTCCGCCTCCCGGGATCATGCCATTCTCCTGCCTCAGCCTCCTGAGTAGCTGGGACTACAGGCACCCGCCATGGCGCCTGGCTAATTTTTTTTTTGTATTTTTAGTAGAGACAGGGTTTCACCGTGTTAGCCAGGATGGTCTCGATCTCCTGACCTTGTGATCCTCCCGCCTCGGCCTCCCAAAGTGCTGGGATTACAGGTGTGAGCCACCGCACCAGGCCAAAAGAACATTTCTTAACACCCCTTCCCCTAAATCTTCAAGTGAAACTTGCTCTAAAAAGATGTTCTAGGTATGTTGTATAGATTCGAATCTCCTGGTTTACCTGTGCATATCTATAGAAGTAAAGCCTGTTCTAACTGGAGAAGCATGGATGTCTGAATCTTTTACAAGATCAAATTCTGGGCAGCAAAGTGAAGGGAGGTTTGGGTGAGAGTCATTATTCAACTTCGTCTGCTAGTTGTGTTGCCCCTGGTTCTGCTTGGGTTAGCCTAAGTTCCCAGGATGTGTTCATCCTATAGGCAAAGGTGGAAGAAGCAAAAATTTAGAGCATTGAAGATAAATGAACTCCAATTATTTGTCTTCTCAATATTCCAGCCTTCACTTACAACCTTTAGCTGTTAATTAGATATTTTACAAAGTCTGTTTATTTTAAAGGCCCAAATGTTTGAAGACTATAAAGTCACTGTCAGTATATTTCTGGAGAAGAAATGTTTGTCTCTTGTCTTCAAGGCTGATGTTTATTAGTTTTCCCATCCAAAGACTAGGTCTGATGCCAACAAACCAGACTTTTCTTCCTGCATCTATGATCAAGCACTTGAACATTTCCCCACGAATGTGGATGCGCCCTGGGTTAGAATTGTTTTCTGCTGTGAGCCAAGGCTGAGTTCCAGCTCTCATTTACCCGCAAGGAGGAGAGCGATGCAAAGGATTGTCAGTGGCGGAGAAGATGCCACTTTTTTGGCTGTTTTCCACAGCATTCAGATTCATATCTGAGCTCAACATGCTTTGTACGTTTTCCCCACATGCCAGGACAGGCCTGTTTTTAAAGACAAGGTTGAGGAGTGGAGAGAAGAGGCTTGTTTATTCACATGGTCATCAGTACAGCACAATCTCTCTCCAAAATGGGAAAGGTCCCCTCACTGGGGATGAGCTTCAGCTTTGGTCTGTCTCTGGATTCTCCTCTACCCGATTTTCCACTCTTATCCCCCAATCTTGGACCTGCCCTTTAACTGAAAGAAAGACACCCTTTTCCCCGCTTTTGATGTTTTATCTGAATCCTTGGCAAAAAGTATAGCTTATAATGTTTTAATTACGATGCCTGTGTTTGAGAAGGTGGTGACAACTGAGCTCCAGGCATCTGGTTTATCGCATGCTCCAGGACAGGTTTGGGTCTGGGTTTCAATCAGGTCATAACATGAAGTCAGGATCTGTGATCATTGCGTTATTCACAGGAGCAGAGGCGTGTGGAAATAAAAGGAGGCACTCCAGTCCCCAACACACCCACCGTCTTTTCACTCTCATTGGACGGAAGTTTCTTCCCACTGGATCGGGACTTGAAGATTTCGTGAGACTTGTTGCTTCCTTGCAAGAGATCGTCTTTCTCTTTGGCACCCCGAATATTTTTACTCACTTGGACAAATAATTCACGCTATACACAGATCCCACTTGAAAGGGCATTTGCCAATACTTAGGCAAACTCTGGTTTGGTATAACTGGTGGGCTGTTGTGCAAAGCCAGGAGGGTAGCGGTAGCTTTACTATAAGTTCCTTACCAAGGAGCAGTAGCTCATTAACTCTTTCACAACTCTTTCATTTTAGCCACTGTTGAGTGGTAGGCAGCATGGTCCTGTGGGGTTGAGACTGGAGTCAGCTAAGTTTGATTTGGACAAGGATTGTGAAGTCTGAGCCTGAGACTCTCAGTGGAAGTGTCAGGCACAATACAGTAGAGAGAGGTCAAAGTCAGCCATGGAACAAGTGGAGAGGACTGCAAAGGACAAACTTATTTTGGAGAGATACGTGGTGTGCATTAGTAGGCATGACTGAGAGTTCTCAGAGGCTGAGGCCATCCCTTTAAGGACTGAAACTTCGTAATGTCAGCTGTTGTTGATGGTCATGTCCTACACACTGTTAAATATTGCTAAGCTTTGGGAGGAAATGCTGGCCCCATCATATGTCACGGTCAACGCGGGGCAGTCTCTGTTTATGCTGATGGTCCCAAGTTCATTATTAACAGTACCCCTTTCATTCTCAAAAGTCTACTTGTTTGGAAGGTGCCTAGTATGACCACACGGGATAAGGAAAGTGGATGTTGCTACTTTCTTTTAACATGTCAGAGATACCTCAAGCTTTGAGGTGCTCCTCTCCCAACTTTTTTGCTCTTTTAAAATATCTTTTTATATCCTTAATATGCTCACATTTTTCTCCACCTTCTTGAACATATGGAATGTAGTTATAACTGTTTTTGATGTCCTTGTCTACTAACTCCTGCATCTATGTTATTTCTGGGTCTATTTATGTTGATCAGTTTCCCTCCTGCTCATTATGCATTATGCTTCCCTGCTACTTTGCATGTCTGGTAATTTTTGAGTGGATGGCCAGACGTAATTTTTATCTTGTTGGATGTCAGATATTTTGGTATTCTTTTAAATATTCTTGGTCTTTGTTCTGGGACACAGTTAAGTTGCTTGGAAACAGTTAATCTGTTTGAAGTTTGCTTTCAAGCATGGTCAAATGGAACCAGAGCAACCTTTGGTGCAGGGAAGTTTTTCTTTTTTTTTTTTTCCACATCAGATGGGTGATGTGCCGATGTCATAATAAGGTTTGAGGGAGGCACATCTCACACATGAGCAAAAAACCCAATCATCACACTTATGAAGCACCAAAGAACCTGGTCTAGGGTACCACTTTTCCTTTTGAGGGCACATAGTGCCCCATGTATTACAAGATTTCTCCACTCTGGCTATGGGGACATCAAAGTCCCTTGCCCGCTAGCTCAGAGATGATTCCACCTGCTCGCTCCTGGTACAGCTTCTTCACATCCACACCTTGACCAGTGCTCAGGTGAAGAGTAGGGGAACCCCCTTTCCATCTCCAGGTTCTCCTTCTGTGCAGGTCTCTCTGTGCAGCTCTCTTCCCTGTGAAGCTCTCTTTTCTCCATTACTCTCCTCTGCAGGGTTAGCTAGAGTGACATCCCTGAATTCTCACCTGTGTCCACAAACCGGTAGGCTTTGTTTAGGTTCCGTCTTTTTTGCACCATCGCTTAACTGAAAACACTGTCCACGTGGTAAGCCGGAGCATCTCAGGGCTCACCTTGCTTGTTCTCCCTTTTCTCAGGAGTCACTGTCCTCTGCTGCCTCTTGTCCAGTGTCTGAAATTATTTAAAATTATTTCCATTTGTTGCTGTTGTTTAAGGTAAGAGGGTGAATCTGATCCGTGTTACTCCATCATGGCCAGAAGTGCAAATCCTGAGTATTGGGCTGTTTCAGCTTCTGTATCTTTGGGACTAATGCATTCTCTTCTCCAATTGCAGTGTGAATGTATCTTTTCTCTCTGCTCTGGTTTTGCTAATGGTCAATACCTTAACTATTATTGCCTTAGATCCTCTTCTTTACCATCTTCTGTTGTTCTCTTCACTTGTTTAGTTCTTGTCTAGTTTTTCCCCTCATTCTTCCCAGTTTTTGCACAAGGTGGCTGGTTTTCCACATATATCACCATCTGTGGGATCAGACCATAAATTTCTTTTTAGCAGATCCCACTGACAGTCCATTGGCTTCCACCTTCCAAATGTCCATATTTTCTGCCTGCATTTGTTCTTGCAACAGTGTTCTGCTACTGCAGCTTCACCAGCAAGAGAGCTATGGCCAGCCTGTCTGTCTGTCTGTCTATCTTTCTATCATCTATGTATTACTTATCTGTCTATTTAATCTATCTATTATCTCTCTATCACCCATCTATCATTTATCTATCCATCATCTATCAATCATCTATTTATTCTATTTTATCTACCTACCTACCTATCATCTATTATCTATCATTTATCCATCATTTATCTATCCATCATCTATTTATCAATCATGTATCTATTCAATTTCATCTATCATCTATCTATCCATCATCTAATTATCAATCATCTATTTATTCTATCAATCAATCCACCTATCCATCCGTCGCATATCTTTTCATCCACCCATTTATCCATTATGTCTTTATCTTTCATGATTATTATTTCTGCCACTACTTCTTCCCTGGCTGAAATTGTTGTGCGTGGAGGAAAGCTCCAGCTGGTGCCACTTTTTGCCGAGGGTTATCACTAGAGTGCCGTGCAGGGTGTGCGCCTTTTCCCCAAGGCTTTATGCCAGACGCTGTTAGACCGGGGATATTTATGGATTAGTTTACCCTTCAGTTGATGAATCCATTTGTCCCTTTAGGCAATTACATATTTCAGTTATGGTCTTTATGTGATTTAAATCTTTGAGATCAGGCTTCCCTTTATTCCTCTTAGTTCCCTGTTGACGTCCCAAACTCTGAAAACATGATAGATCATCTGTGTCTCACAATTGTTAAACGTGCCTATAAATAAACTCTCCCCAACATATGGTGTTCCTTTTTGCTTTCCTTTCTTCTTTTCTAGATTAATTCATTCCACAAACTTTTACTGACCACCTATTATTGCATGGACTCTACTAGGTGATAGATACAAAGATGAGGACTCCATGTCTGTCTTTTGGGTTGCTAGCTTTGAAGAGGATCACAACACAATATGGTAAGTACCACGACGGAGGGGCAGAGGTGAGCACAGGGTGCCACGAGAGGAAGGAGATGGGGGCCGAGTCCACATTTCCTAGAAGCGACCTTACCTTGTATAGGAGTGTGGAGGGGTTAGCAGGGAAGGAGTGTGACAGGCGTGGGAGGATAAGCACAGAGATGAGAGTGAAGGCCATTTGAGATGAAGTATGGAGTTTGCTTTGACTAGATTGTGGAGGCACAGGGTAGGAAGGACAAGGGTCAAAAATGGAGAGGTGGGCAGGTAACAGATCATGAAGGATCTTATATGGCATGTGAAGACTTTTGGATTTTATACAGAAGTGTCTAGAATCAATGAGGTGAAAGGACCAGATTAGAGTGGAAAGTGGATTATGTTGGAACAAGACTAGAGAAAGAATAACTGGGGACTTGGTTTACTTGGTTTAATTCAGATAAGAAACAATGATGAACTAAAGGCACCACTGCTGGATGGAGGGAGGGAGAGAGAGAGAGAAAGGGAGAAGGGGAGAAAGATGAAATCAGGAGATATGCAAGGGCAAACCTGAGAGAACTCAGTTGTAGAGGGAAGAAGATAGAGAGGAGTCCAGGTGCGAGGTGACCCTTGGGTCTCCAGCATGAATGGCTGTAAGGATACCTGGGCTAGTCACTGGAATAGTGGATATTAAAGAAAGAATGCATTTGGACTACACGATTATGAGCTAAATTTTGGATATTTTTGATATATTGAATTTGAACTCTTTGCGACATATGACTGGAGCCATCTGAAAGCTAATTGGATATATGGTTTTGCAGTTCAGTAGAGATGTTGGGACTGATATAGCAGTCTTCAGCTGATAAAGGATAAGTCTAAAGGATGGTGGAGACTTGGGATGGAGGTAGGTCACTCTCATGCACTTGCAGCCTATAATTACGTGCTTTCCAGATCTTTACTGTATTATTTTCTTTTTCTAAAGAGTTATGAAAACATGACTTCTGGCATTGTCTGTCTTTGTCATTACATCTGATAGCTATAAGAATATTTAACAATTAATTAAACAATTTTTACATTTATACTTTCAACCTGCATATCTGCATTTTTTTCCACTAGCTAAGGAGAAAGAAGGGTGTGCAAACTGCATCCCTGCATAAGGCTGCATGAGGCACTGCACCGCATCCCTGCACACTCAGCTCCTCTAGTGGAAATACGGAGGCTCAATTATAAAAGTGGCCCTCACTGGCTTGTTGGGTGTTTTATTTTTCACCCCATAACATTGAACTTTGTTACACAGAATGTCCTGTGATTTCCCGACACAGTAGGTATCTTCCTGAGTTTTTCAACCAGTAGTTTCATACTGGTCAGAATTCCTCTGTTGGCCAAGCTTAATCTTACACCTTGATTGTTTTAGTAACCTACTGATGTGAAGGTGGAATTTTTAGGACTTTACTCAGGTTTCTCAGTGCAGTGGTAGAATATGACCTTGGAAGTCAGACAGATCTGCAGTTGATCCCAGCTCTGTGACTGAGTAGCTCTGTGATGAAAGTAAGTCTTTAACCTCTCTGAGACTGAATGTCTATAGCTAAAAATCAAGGATGAAATAAGGTTGTCTTGGGTTGTTGCAGGATCTGATGACACATGTGAAGTGCTCAGCACAGAGACTGAAACCTGCAGACGTGCTTCATGAGCTGGTCATTTCGGTGTCATTTCTGTGCACTTACTGTGTGCTCTGGGAGTCAGTTTGCTCAGTTTGACCAGCACTTAGTGAGAACCTTGTGCTCGGCACAGGCCTTGCATTGGTGTTCCTCCTTGAGGGTCGGGGAAGCACAGTCTAAGTTTAAGAAATGAATTAATATCCTCAAAGAATTTACCCTAAAGTTAAACCGCCATTATTTCCTACTTTACGTTTCCTGTGGTACCCACCCCCTTCCTCCATCCAAAGGAAATATTTTAAAAGGATTTCCCAATCTTCTTTGGACTTTGGGAGACTTTTGGTCTATGGCGATGAGACTTTCTCACTCCACGGTGCCATCTGGAATTCTTTGTTCAGGCTTTGGCCAGAAAAAACACCGCCACCACCACCAACACACTAACTTAAGAAAATAACATTTGGCAGGAACTTGGCAACAATAACCCTTTGTTGCCAGAATCCTTGTTCACAGTGTGGGTGGCTCAGATGGCACTTAATTAAATGTATTTCCCTATAAATTCTCACAGTGTGCTTATTTTCACTGATGTCTAATAACCACCCTATCTCTACAGCAACCAAATTTCACAGCCTGCAAAATAGGGAAATCAGCATGTATAAATAACATAGTGCTTTTGTTAGTACTCAGTCATATTCCTCATCATTCTGAGTGACAATGGACGTATCTGTTATTATTTCCCACTGAATGCTTTGTCATTCAGTATTTTCCTGCTACCTGGAGTGACTATATAATAAAAATAATACCTACTATTTTCAGTGTCAACTATGAGTCATGTACTGTACTGGGCATGTATTCATTATCTCAGTTAATCTTCACCAGTCTTTGAGATAGGTACCAGTCTTCTCATCTAAAAGATGGGAAAAAATACGGTGACTCTATCTCCACATAAAAAAATTTTAAAACAATTTAACCACGTGTGTGGCACACACTTATAGTTCCTGCTACTTTGGAGGCTGAAGCTGGAGGATCACTTAATCCCAGGAGGTTGAGGCTGCAATGAGCTGTGATCGCACCACTGCACTCCCGTGTGGGAAACAGAGCAACACCCTGTCTCACACACAATGAAAGGAAAAAATGAAGAAAAGAAGCCTGAAAAAGGTTAAATATTTTGCCCAAGAACATACCACTGGGCTGGGTGTGATGGGCCTGCCTAACATGGCAAAAACACCTCTTTACTAAAAAATAAAAAAATTAGCCAGGTGTAGTGGCAAGCACCTGTAACCCCAGCTACTCGGGAGACGGAGGCAGGGAGAATTGCTCGAACCTGCGAGCTGGAGGTTGCAATGAGCCGAGATCGCGCCACTGCACTCCAGCCTGGGTGACAGAATGAGACTCCATGTCAAAACAAAACAAAACAAAACAAAACAAAACAATAGACAACTGGAAACTGATGGATTCGAAGAGTGATCTGAAAAATCTATTTGATGCCCAAACCCACGATGGTTTTTTACACTCTACAAACTTTATTAAGAAAGGTGCTGATTACGTTTTTAGATACAGTCTCAACATACTCCCTGCACTGTCTTTGTTCCGCACAGGATTCGGGAGTGTAACCAGGAATGTAATTAGGAACGCAATGCGGAGGAAGGGCAAGGCCTGTCCCTGTCTTCTTCAGCTGCTGTGTGGTGCCAGGTAAAATATTTAAGTTAGTTTTTCTCGTGTTTTTGAATTAGCCAAGACGTTTACTTATGTAGAGACATTTCTTAGGCACAGCATTTTATATTTTGATGACAAAGGTAAAGTTGCTGAAAGCTGTGAATTGGAACAAGGAAAAACCTAATAGGCATTGGTTGATTGTTCTTAAAAATAATTTATTGTTTTTTGTTTTTTATCTTGTCTATTTCCTTGCAGGTCTGTAACCTAGTGGGAAAGGGCATATACATTAGCAGAAAAACGTATGACACAAAGAATGTTTTTAACGTACATTTACAATTTTGTCTGCTATACTCTATGTCAATAAATTTAACTAAAATGCGTTATTTGGCCTTCGCTTCATAAGATATTTTTCCAGATCTAGAATTTGGCACCAGCCTGGCCAACCTGGCGAAACCCTGTCTCTACTAAAAGTACAAAAATTAACCAGGCGTGGTGGTGGATGCCTGTAGTCCCAGCTACTCGGGAGGCTGAGGCAGGAGAATCGCTTGCACCCAGGAGGCCGAGGTTGCAGTGAGCCAAGATTGTGCCACCGCACTCCAGCCTGGGTGGCAGAGCGAGACTCTGTCTCGTTAGAATAAAAATAAAAAAAGATTTTGGCAATCCCTTTCAGCATTTTAAAGACGCCATCCCATTGTCTTCTGGGCTCCACCGTTTCTTCTGGAAGATCGGTTATCAGCATAGCTGTTGCTCCTTGAGTGTGATGTGCCCTTCTCCCTGGCTGCCTCGGCCCTCACCCTCGGCTGTTTTGAAGATTCTCCTGGGTTTTTTGTTTTCAGCATGTGTGCCCATGAGGTTTTCAGCAAGATGTCACTGTGATGTATCTCAATGCATGCATTTTGCCTTCTGAATTTATTCTGCTTTAATCCTGTAGAGCTTCTTGAATCTGCGGATTAATGTTTTTAGCATTTTGGGAACATTTCCGGCCAGTGCCTCTGTAAGGATTGTTTGTGTCCCTTTATTCCCAACCCCTTTTCCTAGAATTCTAATGACATGTACATTAGACCTTATCACTGTGGCTTAGGTTTTTCAATCTGTGTATTCACTTATTTGTGGTCTCTTTTTCTCCAAATTCTTTGCTTCTCCAGTTCTGAAGCCTCAGTAGTCCCGGACTCCAGGGTTTGGAGTGACGTCTCCTGAACACTGAGTCTCTGCCTTTGTGTTAGAGTGTTGGGGAAGTAGCAGATGCTTGAAGGAGACAAGCAAGGAATGACGTTGAATTCACCTGTGGGGGCTTTTGCTCTGCGATCGTTGCCCCTCCAGTACTGGCTGACTTGGTTATTCTCTGTTTTCTTTCAACAACGTGTTTTTTATTTTGTGCGGCTTTTGTAGTTAGGATGTATTGCAGGTTGGTGGGATTGATGCACGTTACTCCATCAGAGCCAGAAATGGAAGTTCTGTGTTAATAAGTTTGAGTTAGAAGTTCTGTTTCTTTTCTTTGGTCTCATTTTTCCTACTCAGGTAATGAAATACATATTACCGAGGCCATAGTACTGAAATCAAAATTTAAAAAATTAGATTTTCATTCCAGAATCAATAGAAAATTGCTTTGTGATGATGAGCCTTCTGGTTTCAATTTCTCTGTAAAATGGGCACGATCTCATCTACATCATTATCAGGGCTATGGAATTTTTTTTTAAAAGGTAGAAGAGTTTTTTTTTTTTTCCCTGATAAAATGCTCTAATTATTCTTCCTCTTTTTGTAAGTTAGCTCCACAGGGAATTGAGAAATGAATTCTTAATTAAAAACCTTACAATAAGAGCCGGTAGCAGTAATCATCCTTACACTGTGTCATGCCCGTGTTTACCACCTCCCCACCTTCAAAGAACATGGGGAAGAAGGGCGAGCAGATGCTAACTCAGGGTGCAGCCAGAGTCAGAGTGCAGCGGGCGTTCAATTTGTTATACCCATACAGGCCTGAGTCTGCACAGCATTCAGAAGAGATTTCAGGTATTTTCTAAGAGGAAAGAGAAATGCGTGTGTTCACAGAGGTGACTCTTACCTATGTGGAACATCTGCGCCCATTTCAGAAAACCACAGCGTTTTGAGAGTGGATACGTGCCTGTTAATTTGAGCACTGCTAAGTACATAAATAGATGAGCCGTTAATGTACACAGCTTGGTCGTCTCAGTAAGCCAAAATTGAGTCAACCTTTTCCCAGGTTAACCTAATCTAAAAATAACACTTTCATCTCTTATTAATAGGCTGGTTGTTATCTAATGTTTTGCTGTGGGTTCAGGGTTCCAGAATAAATCATGCTTTGATTATAGGGTGGATCAAGTTAATGTTGACTCATTCAGGTTGGGGCTGGGCAGAGCTGTGGCCTGTCCCAAGTCTCATCTGAGCCAGAACTCATCAAATCCTAGGTCTTGTTGATGTCATGCAGGAGAAGGTACAGAAACGCTTGTATTTTATCTGGCAAGCGGCGCAGTGTGGCTGGAGCAGGGGAGGGAAAAAAGCATCTAAAAATATTCTTTCTTGCTTTTAGTCCTAGTAAGAGTTTTTGTCCTATTATTAATCCAAGTTATGAGCTAGAAGGATTAACCCCAGGGGCAGGTACACATTTAGGTTCACTGGTCCTCCATTCACTTAAAAACCTCTCCAGGTTCAAGGTCTCTACTTAGTTTCCACCTTGACAAGGTCTTGTGGACTTTTTTTCTTTTTGAGATGGAGCCTCACTCTATTGCCCAGGCTGGAGTGCAGTGGCGTGATCTCAGTTCACTGCAACCTCTGCTGCCCAGGTTTGAGCAATTCTCCTGCCTCAACCTCCCGAATAGCTGGGATTACAAGTGACTGCCACCGTGCCCAGCTAATTTTTATATTTTCACTAGAGACAGGGTTTCACCGTCTTGGCCAGGCTGGTCTTGAACGTCTGACCTTGTGATCCACCCACCTTGGCCTCCCAAAGTGCTGGGATTACAGGCATGAGCCACTGGTCCCGGCCCCTTTTTGGGGTTTTAAGAGACCTTTCAGAGTATCTAAGTTACTGTCATTTTATTTTGAAATTACACAGGTAAGAAAGACAGAGCAGGAAGCAGCCCCAACAGTGGCCCGGCTTGGCCTCAGGCAGGCAGGCATGCTGTATAGGACAGGAGACATTTAGGGATCAGATGATCTTGTCGTCTAAGACTCAGCAGTGGGTGACACTTTCTACACTGAGCTCCAACATCACGGTCAAGAGCTCCCCGATGTCTCTGCTTCTTAGTGTCCTGCTGCTGCCGCCAGGTATCTCCCTATTCTTGAATCATTCTCTAAACACATATTAACTGAACACCTACCCATGAGCCCATGAGGCTCCAGGTACCTGGGATTCACAGGCACATATCCAAGTTGATGTTCCTTCTGCAGTGTGCTTCTGCTGGCTGATATCCTCCGAGGTTCACGGGTTCTGTCCACTGCCTTCGTTGTGTTTCTCAACTGTCTGCCTCCACACGTAGCACGAACACCCCAGCCCAGGGCACGTGGTGGTTCCTACCAGTCTGTCATCTGTATTAAGCACTGATGTTGAGTGGAGCTCTTATTCCAGGCTCCATTCTGGATCATACTTGGGCCAGACACCAATCTTTGGTCTAGTTCACTGTGGCCAGGATAGTAGGATCTCCAAAGTAATCATGGTGACTTATGCCTAAGGAGATCATCACCAGGAGGCTCCGAGGGTGAGAGGTGACAGGTGTTCTCCAGAACGTGTCCATGTACACCATACATAGCTTGTCCAGCGTGGTGGTGACTGTTATCCAGATAGTATGGAGCCATGCGTGTATCATAATAGGAACCGTTTCACCTATGTATCTGAACTGAGCAAACACATTTAAAAAGTTAAATATCCGACTCCCTTTTAGGTTCCCCTCTGACAACAGCAAGGGCTTCTCATGTGAATGAGGCTCAGGGGAATCTGCCAGCCATCTTGGCTTCCCTGGCACCATGCAGAGACATGCTCCTGTAGAAGAGAATAGTGAAAGCCATCCAGACCCCAGCTGTAGCAGCACTGAATGCCAGAATGGTTTGCTCATGGAGAATTCCTGAAGGACCTCCTATGGAGCTCACCTGAGCGACATGGAAGGATGACATGTGGGACAATCAGAGTGAAGCCTGGGGTGGTGAGAACATTGCAGGCGTCCAGTGGATTCCTTTAAAGCAGGTTGCTCAATTGTGGTCCTGTGGATAGTTTGGGCTGGGTGGTTCTCCACTGTGGGGCCTAACGTGTATGTTGTAGGATGGTTGGTGGCATCTCTGGCCCCCACTCACTAGGTGCCAGGAACACCCAGTGCTCGTCCCCAATGTCTCCAGACATCGCCCGGGGTCCGAGTGCCATCACTTTCAACTGAAAATCACTGCTTAGAGGAAAGCAGTTTGTGGATGAGAAGCATACATGCTGTGACTCACAATTTCAAATCAATGAAGTTCAACCTCAGACTGTGCACATTTACTCCCCACTCACCAACAGTCAACAAACAACAAGAAAGATGACCAACAAGTATGATTGAAAAGCCTCCACCAGGTGCAAAGAGTTTATTACCTACCTGTGTTAGTTTACTATGATTCTTAAAGTCAGGAAAATTATGGGGGTCTTGAATAAGGATTGTCAGTTGAGGTTGAATATATTTTAACATAACTACTGAGTCACTCTTTGAGGGGACAGTTTCCTACCTTTTGTTTTCTCATTCACTGTTTTAATTTACTTAATCTCATTCAGCCAAATCTTGTGTATTTCCCAGTAAACTGTGTACCGAGTGAATTATTTGTAGCATTATTTAAGACCTTGAATCAACATTATCTAACATGTTTGGAAGCAGGGCAGCCCTCAGATCTCTGGTTAATGTGATTTCAGGAAAACATACATAGATTCATACTGTTTTATAGACCACAGTGGGTCAAAATTGAGGAAGAAAATCTGCTACCAGAAATCTATGCAATTAAGGAAGCTGCCTGTGACTGACTGCAGAAATGCTCTCCCCGTGTGGGACAGGGAACATAAGAGC